CCTTTTCTGTTGTCCTTTTTATGTTTCAAATTGTCAGATTCACATATTTTTTAAAATGTTAGTGAGCTTTCTTGACATGTTTATTTGGGTGCACAAGTCATATTATATTGCACCCCCTTTAGGGTCCACAGACTTTAACATGTTTGTTAAAAATGATAAAATTAAAAATTTACAAATTAAAAAAAAAAAGGGTCAATCAATTTAAATTAGTTTTGAAATACAACATAGTATTTTATTTATTGGAAATATTAAATTTAACCTCTCAGTTTGAAATTAAAACTAAAATAAAAGCATTAAGAAAAACTTTTCATTATTTAAACTTCATTTTAAATGTTAGGTGTTGCATTTTTGTAGAAGGCTCTGCTTCTATTGCAGGGATTTACACAATATTATCTCCTGATCTTTAAGTTTTCTTCCTTGATTGTCAATAATGTTGCATTTTAGTTTATGAAAAGTATATTTTTTATTTACCTATCCATTTTAGTATTTGCTGGATATTTCTGCAAACTTTGTTTTTTTTCAGAATTTATGGTTCATTAACAGTTTGGACTCTTGCAATAGAGACAATCTTGTTACTGTATGAAGAGTAATTCAAAATGAAAAAAAAGTTCTAAATTCAGTCTTCCAGTATTTACTTTTTTCTATTTTTTTACTTTGATTTATATTTGAGAATTGTCCTATTGAATCTTTTTACTTCTTCATTGGATTGAGGCCAATATGCTTTTGCCTTTAACTTGACTATACCATGAAGACTTAAGTATCCTTGAAAATTACTATGTGAAAATGGTTATCCATTGTCATTTTCTGCTACTCAGGGATATTCAGGGCCGGATTATTATATAGGCTAGTATAGGTGGGAGTCTATATATTAAAATTTGGTTATAATGATTTCATATAAAATGTTTTTTGGTAGGGTTGTATTGAAATATGGACTAATTTGATTGGAAATAAATAGTAACAAAATTATATATATATATATATATATATATATATATATATATATATAAATATAAATAAAAACATTATATATATATATATATATATATATATATATATATAAATATAAATATATATATATAAATAAAATATAAATATATATATATAAATAAAAATATAAGAAATATTACTATATATATATATATATATATATATATATATATATATATATATATGGTAATATTTTTTTTGTTTAAAAATATGATTCCTTCACTACATAAGATTTCTCAAGTTTCAAAAACGAGAGCCGAAACCATCCAAATAATTATTAAAATTATGTTGAATTGTGGTGTTTACTCCCATTTCATCTTCAAGCAAAATTTTAGGAATAAGCTATCTCTTGGTTTACATGTGTTTTTAGGCATGGTCCGTTATAACATTCGTTACTGTGGGAATGGCTAGGCTAGTTTTCTTCGTTAAGTGGTCAGAGAGTTAATTCTTATCAATAGATTAATCATCTTCTGAGAGGTTTTGCTAAAGTTGGGTAGGGTATCTATTTCAAGGCTAATGTTGGCGGTCATCCTCTAGTTAGTTCCCAGTGAGGAATATTTTATTGCGCGCCTACAAGTCGTTATGTGTCGGGAGGATTGTGTTTTATTATTCTCTATCTGATTATCTATTTATTTATTTGTTATTCAAGTGGATCTTTTATATACAAACTGTATTACACTGAATTTCAATTTGTTTTTTGACGACTACAGAAAGGGTTTTTCCTATTTAATGATTTGGCTAAGCTTTTAAGACTTTTATTAAACTATGGGATTTTTTTATGCTAATTATTTAATTAAAAAATTTGTTGATGTCGGCAAAAAACGTTAACTCCTGCCTATGGTTTAATAATTTTTCATTGTTTAGAAACTTAATGATGTGTAGCTTTTCGTGTAGGCATAAAGGGCATGGGCCATCCCAGCTTTTACAAGTTCTTGTTCTATTTACTATTTTCCATTTTACTTTTGCTGTTTTATTCGTTTCTTTTAGATGCCAGAAATATTGGGATAGAGATGTCTGATTTCTATTTTGAATATTGTTGAAGGAGCTCTCGTTTTTGAAACATGAGAACTCTTATGTAGCGAAGGAATCATATTTTTAAACAAAAAAAAAAAAAAAACATTACAATATAAGCTCTACTTCTGTATGGAGCACTGTCTTCTTAAAAATAAAAACAAAAATACTAAGGAACTCCAGATTATGCACCCAATGCGTTCTTTTTTATTTTCTGCATACCTGCGCACTTATATATATATATATATAAACAAGTATATTCAGCAATAAGTCCGTTTGCGCATTTTCAAAATTAATATTTTACGTATCAATTCACTATCAATAAGTAATGAAATTTTGTTTGATTCCGATAATTCCCTGATTTTCTTTTAGGTTTAGGCAAATATTTTATTTTAAAATGCCAGATAGAGATTTTTTTTTGCAGCACTTCAGTTCAAAGAAAAAAAAAATTTGATGAGTTTTTCTTTATGTTATTTAATTTAATTTTTTTTTTAATTTTTTTTAACAATCTTTTGAATTTTTCAAATCGTTATTAAATTCCCGCTCAAAATGTGTATGGACACACTAAGAAAGACCTAAGATGGCTTGGTTTTTTTTTTTATCTCCGATGAAGTTAATTCAAAAAACAAAGTTCTCCTTATGTTGCAAAATAAGATATTTATATCTCTTAATATATTTCCAGGATAGGAAATTCCAATAACCGACATCACTTGGTAATAGTCTCCGTTTCAATTTCCAGGTCTTTGTTTTTGAAATTTTCAAATTTTGTTTGATTTTGTATGCCATCATTTAAAAATTTTTTTCTTTTTCTATTTTTGTTCCAAATAATATACATGAATTCATACTTAAATCAATTTTGCATTAAAGAGACTTTTTATAGAACATTTTATTTTTTTACAATTTATCCACATTAAAAATAATAAAAATTTCCTATAAAAGAGTTACCCAATAACTCCACACCCCGTCAGATCGTTATTATTATTATTATTATTATTATTATTATTATTATTATTATTATTATCATAATCATCATCAAAAGTTCAAGGGAGAGTACTTTGGTGCTTGCAAAGAGAAGATTCGGTTTTTATTTCCCTTATTAAATGTCACGCCATTAAAGTATATGTCATATAAAAAGAAAAGAATTCACCCCCCCAAAAGGCATAAATGATGATGGTGAAAAGAGGAAAGGTCAGAAACTGACACTGACACAGAATTATTATATTTTGGTTGAAAATAAAAATAAAATTTACCGTCTAGCGCAAGGATCGATCTCACGACCTTAAGTCAACCAGCTAGAGATTTCATCTTTTAACAAAGCTATCACCTCTGTTTATTGGAATAAGATCACCCACTGAAGCTCTATACCCGACCCTGCTATCTTTGTCACCCAGAATTAACCCCTTCCTCCAATTACTCGTTTGCTGAGGGAGTTGTAAAAAAACCTTTATGTTCAAACTACTCAGGTCCATACTAAGTTGTTAACAGAAAGGACAAGTATTTCACCATCATGAAAAATGGAAAACATGACACTATTGCTATCGATCGGATTAAACCGGCTTATGTCGATAACCAATTCTCACAGCAACTACAAAAAGAAAAACATTCAGGCTCAAATATCACACAAAAGACGAATGAACAAACATCCAACAAAACAAATGACACCTCACCAGAGACAATAACAGAGAAGAATGTTACAACAAAATCTGGGAGACACGTGCATTGGCCAAAACATGACAAAACATATCTGAGATATTAAATAATTATTTCCTGCATATCATTATAAATAAATTTCTAATTACCTGGAGGGGGCCTTTTGTCGTGTCCACTAAAATATCAACTACAATATTTATAAACCAATCACACTCAAGAAAACACTTACATCTTAAAACACACCAATAAAATCATAGATTACAAATCAGAATGTTTGTTGTATTAGTTACATTCTTTTTAGGTAGATAGCAACCAAATATCGTACGGACGTAGTAGAAGACATACCATGTGACTTCTTAGGGCCAATTAGAAATGAATAAATAATTTAATTCTGGAGCCGATATTGTTCGGAAAAAGTGTATAAAAACATACGAAATCTGTTCCCAAAACAATATACACGCGGCTGCCAGCAAGCTACACACACCTTTCGCCAATGACCTTCATGACCTCATGTCAAAAACGACAGCGTTGACAAACTCCTTACCACGGCAACATCGCCAAAAAGAAACAATTCGTATCTCTAGTATCCGTTTTTACTATGAATCACGCACACACATGTTGACTTTTTCATACAAACACACACATCACAACATTTTATTGTTTCTCACACGCGTACACAAAGACAGTTTATATCTTATTTCAGAACTTTATCAACCCAAACAAAAGACATTACTTTCCAACTTTTTGTATTCCTTAAATCAATGTTTATTTGTTGAAACTACGTCGTCTTTTCTACTGAATTTTATTCCTTCAATGAAAAGCGTTTGATTATTCTAGACGGCCAAATTACGAGCGACCCTGTAACGATATTTTGTTAATGTATTGAATCCCGACACTCCAAATTTTAATATTCAACGAAAAACCGGGTAGAAGGATTCCTACAGAGTCAAGAGGAGAGAGAAAGAAAAAAATAAGACGAGGAATTCAAAACAAACAAAGATTATTAATTCATTTAAAATTATATTGAAAGATTTTGAGATAATGAGCTTCTTTTTTTGTCATTTTCTGGTTAAGAGAAGAAAAAAAAACAGAAAATGTTATTATTTGTTTACCAGAGAATGTAGTGTAACCCGGATATAAGAGAGTTGTCGGACCGGAGAGGTCTCTTATATCCGGGTTTCTCTTATATCCGGGTTTGGTCTATTTTGTTTAGATAAGTATTGGCTCTAATTTGGGACCAGAGAAAATTTCTCTTATATCCGGGTTTCTCTTATATCCGGGTTACACTGTAGTGAAGTATATTGAATATTTGAATGGGAATCTAATAGAGATGGACATTTTATTTGACTAACCTTCATTGCAACCATTTCCCATCCATCCATCAGCACAGATACATGATGTAGATGTGCAGTACTCAGGATATTTACAATGGCAACCTTTTCTGCAAGATGTTCCATTACGTCCATATGAACATGCTAAAATTGTAAAAGAATTTCTCTTGAATAATCAATTAATTCTTCCAATTCATTACAACAAAAAGAAAACAAAGATGTTCTTAAAATTCAATTTCTATTGGATTTGCAACCGATTCATAGAAATTGTGTTAATCAAAAATAAATTAAGTTTTAGCACTCCGCTACCATCTTTTTTATCAACATCAATTTTCGTGCAAAAAGTGGATCACAGAGCTTGTTCAGCTTAATAAATATTTCTTAGAAAATCTTAACTTCTAATTGGTCACTTAATATTTAATAACATCGACCTAGTTTTTGACCTTACTAAAAGATAATTCCGCCAAAATCTATCAAGCTTCTCTGATCCTACCACGTGACCAAAGTTAGCAATAAAACATGAAACGTCTTTCATCTTCAACAGTCAGCCGATCGGAATCCTCAGCCAGGTATTCTGCCTATGCTGACGACGTTTTGGTTCTTGTGTCGAGCAGAGGCGAGATTAACGAAGTCAGCAAAGAGATCAATGTGTATGAGATGGTGACAGGGGCTAAGATCAACCGCGATAAGTCTGTTGGCTTGCGGTTGGGTGCGTGGAAAGGAGTTTCTCTTCCCGGACCTTTCCTCTGGACGGATGGGCCGATCAAGATACTCGGCGTCTGGTTCGGTCCTGATCTCCAGCTGGAAATGAAGTGGTCGGAGGTACAAGAGAAGGCAGAGATCGCGGTTAATCTGTGGTCTCAGGGAAGACTTTCCTTGAAGGGAAGGGCGGAAGTATGTGTTTCACACATCTACCCGATTCTCCTTTACCGGCTCTCTGTACTTCCACTCCCGTATACCAGACTAATATTATTAGTAAGGCTCTTGTTCTCTTTCTTGTGGAGAGACAAGGCCCCTATGGTCTCTCGCGAGATCTGTTGCCTTCATCCCTCTGAGGGCGGTCTGGGTATGCCTAGCATTGAGATTCGTCAATATATGCTTCGCATTACCTTTCTAGACCGAATGTGTCGCGGATCGGATGAGGAGAGCGCCTTCTGGAAGGAAGACGTCCGTAAACATTTTCCATCACTGAGAAGTGTGCACTCGTGCGAGGAGGAGTCCGGCCGTACACCCTGAGCCGAATGCTTCTTCTACCGCGAATATCGTCGTGCTCTAAAACACCTCTTACGGGTGTCGGGTGGCCTCTCCAATGCCCGAGCGTTGTCTCGTAGGACATTGTATCAACTGTCAAGGGGGCCGTTTAGGATGATCTAATTGACGAGCTCGGTCTTACGAAGCAGGAGGCTCGCTCAATATGGCCTGGGTTGAAATGCCTCGATAACGATGAGGCATCACTCACCTGGATGGTGATTCGTGGGGCCCTATGGGTTGCCAAAAGACTCAGTTCAGCAGGCTTGGAGAAATATCCAAACTGCCGTCGCTGTACTGGAGAAGTCGAGACCATTGGTCTCGCCTTCTTTCATTGCAAGATGGTAGTGCCTTTGTGCAAGTTTGTTGAAGGCCTCATGGTTCGCATACTGCAGGGAAAGTTTTTTGAGGCCAGTTCTGTTTGTAGCAATGTGGTGCCGCAGATGACGAAGGCTGAACATTATGTGTTCTGTTGCTTACTAGGTGTTATGATAGTCGTGATTTGGACGACACATCAGAAAGAATTCTATGAGGGCGAGAAGTTCACCTCTTCCCAACTGATCTTGTTCTTTAAGCATCAGCTTAAAGTCAAGATTAGGACGGAAAGGCGGCGGCTCACCTCATCAGAATTTGGCAAAAGGTGGGTGAATCTTGCGCGTATGTGCAGAGTAAAAGGGGCTGACCTGGAGTGGCATTTTGATGCCGGTTAGGCATCAGGATATTGTTTTCTTGGGTTGAACATGGGCAACCCTTCCCTGGATTTAGGCTAGATTAGGTTTTTGTATTTGATTTTTTTAGTTTTTCTTTCCTTTTTCGGTAAACTTAGCTAGGGTGTGTTTGCGCAATGGTCCCTTTTATTTCTGTCCCCTTTTTTTTTCCTTTAGTTTAACTCCCCATCCCCTCCCTCGTTAGGTAGTCACTGATGTCAGTTCTCTGGTGGATACGGGGCGCCTTTCGTTTCGCGTGTGTGTTTTTCGCATTTGTTGTTGTGTATGAATGAGTGCGTGCCTGTGTGAATGCTTTGGAGGAATAAATATTTCCTATATTTTCATAATCCCGCATCGATTTCGTCCGGTTAACTGATATTTCTGCCACATTTAAGGTTTGTGTTTTTTTTTTTTTATTACTAACTCCTTTTTGTTTAGTTTTTTGTAAATATATTATAAGTCATATTGTACATAATCATTGGGGATCTTTTAAAAATTGTTGTTTTTATGCCCCTCCCCGCCACAGACAATATTTGTACATAGGGGGACTATTTAGGATTTTCATCAAGACAAAGAGGTATTTTGGTGAATGTAGTAAGAAAGGTATGGATAAACGTGTTGTTTTGGTGATAGGAATATTGTTTTGTATGATAGAGTCAGTGGTTGTGGCTAGCTAAGTTTTAAATTAAGACAAATGATGACCGTCCTTTTGCCCAACCCTATTTTTTGGCCTCGTGTCACATTTGCTGTTCATTTACAGCAATAAATATCGTCAGTTGATCGGAATCCTTTGAACTCGTCACACAGTTCCAGGCTTTAAAATTCCTTAACATGATTCCAGCCTGAGAGAACACTCATTCACACAACAATATTTTATGACGAACAATCAACTCAAGTTTTCCAAATTCAACTTAATACAAGAATCCTTTTCATATATTTTCAAGCTCAACGTTAATTATCGCTACTAACATAAACACAGCTTGTTTAAAAAAAAGACATACTTGTTTCAACTACACAATATTTTCTTCGAACAAGTGAAAACAAATCAAAGAACAACAATTCCATCAACCTTAAAGTAAGTCGTAACCATATTTTTCCAATTTTTAGTAACAAACTTGAACTGTTTATCATTTTCTTAAATTACAACACATTTTCTCACTATTGTATATATTCAATAAATTACAATCTATCAAACCAGAACTTTGATAACTTTTCACCTAAAACATAAAAGGACGTTTGAACTTTTTAAAGCCGCTTCTTTACACCAGTTGTTGTATCTCTTGTTTATATAAATCTTTTATTCGTGGTTGTGCAAAAACTGTTGTTTCTCATGCTGTCCTTCTTCTTCTATGTTTGCTGAATACTAAAATTTAATGTGAAAGGAAATTGTTAATTTCATCACGCAGCCTAATTTACTCAACAATTTTTCATCCATCCATTAACACAACCTCCACAAAGTTAAAAATTATTACCGACATAGATACTTTGTAATTCACAAATACAAAATGATATTGTTCTCTGTGCAATAAATGTAAGTAGTCAAGTATATTGAATATTTGAATGGGAATCTAATAGAGATGGACATTTTATTTGACTAACCTTCATTGCAACCATTTCCCATCCATCCAGCAGCACAGGTACATGATATAGATGTGCAGTACCCAGGATATTTACAATGGCATCCTTTTCTGCAAGATGTTCCATTACGTCCATGTGGACATGCTACAATTCATTACAACAAAAAGAAAACAGAGATGCTCTTAAAATTCAATTTCTATTGGATTTGCAACAGATTCATAGAAATTGTATTGATCAAAAATAAATTAAGTTAAAATTTATTACCGACACAAATGCTTTGTATTTCACAAATACAAAATTATATTGTTCTCTGGGCAATAAATAAAATTAGTCAAGTATACTGAATATTTGAATGGGAATCTAATAAAGATGGACATTTTATTTGACTTACCTTCATTGCAACCATTTCCCATCCATCCATCAGCACATCCACCACAACTCTGGTATTTGCAGTATATAAGATCTCTGCAATGGCATCCTTCTCTGCAACCATTTCCATAACGTCCACGTGGACATCCTAAACATTTTAAAAGAATTTCTCATGAATAATCAATGAATTCTTTCAATTCATCACAGAAAAAGAGAAACAAAGATGGATTTAGATTCGGATGAAATAAATATTATAACGAGTAAAGAAATTCACGTCTAAAATATAATTTCTATCGGATTAACAAGTAAGTGATAGAAAATTATTTCCAATTGATTCAACGGAGCTTTTATAGGAAAATATTTCAGAGGGTGAAAAATATTTCCAATGACATCCATTTTCATAGAAATTTCTATAAAATCAATGCAGACCAATTTAAAAAAAAAAGAAGATAAAAGAATAAACTTCTAATAAAAATAAACAATAAGACACTGACTTGTTTTCTTCAAATTAAACATTGACCTTCATTATATATATTTCATTTTCTTTCGCATTTTTCCTAAGGAAAAAAATACAGAAACAATTTCTTAGAGTATATTCCTTACGTGTTTGGCATTTATCTCCTCGGTATCCAGGTCTACATTTTCCATCAGGACATCGCCCGTCTGTTTTATTACATTTGGTATTGTCAACACAATGACATGTCCCTTGACAATAATATCCAAATTTGCCAGAAGGACATTCTGAAAATAAAGTAAGAAATGATGAAACCAATCTGAGATGATACTGAAAAGACAAAAAAGGTTTCTTTTCTATCTTAAAGAGATAAATATATAAATGACCCATTAAGTTGTTGATGAAACTGAAGAGTAGAAAATCGTAAAGTTTTATTTTCAGACAACTGCACAATGAAAATATTTGAAAATGAACAAGAGGCAAATTATATTTTCAGTTTAGACGAGAGAAAATTTCGAAGTAGCAATAAAAAACGTACATTTTGCCTGACAAAATCTCCTCTGACTGATTTGTATCATTATTTTTAATTTTATTTTTATTATCATCTGCTTGTTTCTATTCTATTCTTTATTTTGATGGCGTTGATATCACGCCATGATTGTATTTTGTGCTATAAAAGAGAAAGAAAACAATCCCGACCCCCACCGACAAAAAGGCATAAATGATGATGGTGAAAAGAGGAAAGGTTGGAAACTAAAATTGCTACAGAATTATATTTTGGTTGAAAAGAAAAATACAATTTAATGCCCAGTGAAAGGATCGATCTCACGACCTTCAGTCAACCAATTCAAGAGTTCATCTTTTAACAGAGATGTTACCCCTATTGATTTGAATAAGATCACCCACTGAAGCTCTATACCATACCCGGCCATCTTTGTTACCCTGGATTAACACCCTCCCCCAATTACTTGATTGCTGAGGGTGTCAAGGAGAAAATCAAAGAAAAAAAAAATAAGACGAGAAAGTCAAAACGAACAAAGATTATTAATTCATTTAAATTATTTTTAAAGATTTTGAGATAATGAATTCCTTTTTATTTATTTATTTTTTTCATTTACTGGTTAAAAGAAGAAAAGACAGAAAATGTTATTGTTTGTCTAGCAGTGAATGAACATAGTCAAGTCTATTGAATATTTGAATGGGAATCTAATAAAGATGGACATTTTATTTGACTTACCTTTATTGCAACCATATCCCATCCATCCAGCAGCACAGGGACATGATATAGATGTGCAGTACCTAAGATCACTACAATGGCATCCTTCTTTGCAAAATGTTCCATTACGTCCACGTGGACATGCTAAAAATGTAAAAGAATTTCTCTGAATAATAAATGAATTCTTTCAATTCCTCACCAAAAAAGAGAAACAAAGATTTAGATTCGGATGAAATAAATATTATAACGAGTAAAGAAATTCATGTCTTAAATATAATTTCTATCGGATTAACAAGTGATAGAAAAATATTTCCAATTGATTCAACGGAACTTTTATAGGAAAATATTTCAGCGGGTGAAGAATATTTCTAGTGACATCAATTTTCATAGACGTTTTTATAAAATCCATGGAGAGAATATTCCTTACGTGTTTGGCAGTTATCTCCTGTGTATCCAAGTTCACATTTTCCATCAGGACATCGCCCGTCTGTTTTATTACATTTGGAATTGTCAGCACAATGACATGTCTCTTGACAGTAATAACCAAATTCGCCAGAAGGACATTCTGAAAATAAAATAAGAAATGATGAAACCAATCCGAGATGATATTGAAAAGACAAAAAAGGTTTCTTTTCCGCCTTAAAGAGATAAAAAGTAAATGACCCATTAAGTTGTTGATGAAACTGAAGAGTAGAAAATCATAAAGTTTTATTTTCAGACAATTGCACAATGAAAATATCTGAAAATGAACAAGAACAGGAGGCAAAATATATTTTGAGTTTAGACGAGACAAAATTACAAATGACCAAAGAAATAAGCAATAATATTGAAGAAAAGGGGTAAGTCATAAAATTGCATTCACATAGAATTGCATCGAGAAAATGAAGGAAAATAAATAAGAACAAAAGAAAGACATTTTATTAATCTCAGAGAAAGAGAAGATTAAAAGTAAAATGTATAACTGATGAGATTGAAAAGAAGAAAATGCTAAACATTCATTCGGTAAGAAATTATATAATGAAAATGTATCGATCTGAACAACATGCATAGAAAGAAATTATTATTAAATATTAATTAAGAAAAACAAAAGAGCAAATTATTTCTATTACCAATTCCAACTCATTTTTCCCTCACGGATTCTTAAATATTAACTAGCTCACTCTCTCTCTCTCTGTCTCTCTCTCACACACACACATACACGCACACACACACACACACACACACACACACACACACACACACACACACACACACACACACACACACACAACTTTCTGTAGTCGAGTCCTTTCTTTGACACCAAAATAAAATAAAACTAACAATTCTTAGACAAAAATGAATTTTTTTCTATTTGGAAATTAACTGAAATAAGTTAGAAGTTTGGCTAAATCCGAGAGATTTCCATTTGAAACAAAAAATGTATAAATTCTGTACTCATGTATTTTCTCTTTTTATTTGCCAAGCAATAATTTTTATTTCAATTGTTTAAGGAAATTAAAATTTACGAAATTGCAATAAAAAAAAAGTCCATTTTGCTAGAGAAAATGTACTCTGAATGATTTGTATCATTTTGCGTTTGTTTTCTTTTTCTTTTTCGTCTGCTTGTTTCAATTTTATTGCAGCTCAAAATGGTTGCCATGGCAACCGATTAGCTCATAATTATTTGGTCTTTTGAGTAGAATTTGAAAATAAATTGTTAATTTCTCTCTCTTGTAGATACATAAATAGAAAAAATAATAATTTGTTTTACCCGTTCGATTGTTAATGTTAAATTTCCAAGCGAGGGATTTATCATCCCGCTACCACTTTCTACTCAATTGTGCGTTGCAATCCGCCAACGTACAAATATTAATTTCCCGCCAAATTTCTGTGATCTTGTCACGTGATTACATTAATTATAAATAGTAGATACGAGCTTGCTCTTTGCCTTCTCTTCTCCTACTTCCCTGCCACATGTCAGAGGGTATCTAATTAATTTATAGGTAACTTTCTTATGAAATTTTATCAGAAGTGTACATAAAATACTATAATTTTATGTACATTTATTACATTTTACTGTGTTATTTGTATTTCCGTTCATTTTATTATTAATTTTGATATTTCATTCATGGAAAAATTCCATAACTGAGATTAATATAAAAATAAGATCATATAAATTTCATAAGATGATACTGATACTTGTAGGTACCCTTCTCAGTTGAAATTGGAAAATCAAATTAACTTCTCCACACGTGTTTCTCAAAAGTAAAGGCCTTAACAGCGGAGAAAAATACTTAACTCAAATAATGCAACTTAATTGTATTCTGATTGGTCTTCCGTACTTTATAATTACAGCCCGATTATAAACACAAAATTACATTTCTTAATTACTGCATCTCTTGTGATTAGTCAAAACGATACAATTTACAACGCGCTAAAAAAGATCTATCTCATAAGGAAACTGGATGCGGATTTTAACTGATTTTATAATATTTTAACAACTTAAAGGTAAAAATCTATTATAATTAAAGAAATAACAAATAATTGTATTAAAAATTTATTTTTCACCAAAAAAATGTTTTGCTTGAAGAAAATACTGTCCATATTCATAAAAACAACTAAAAGCAAATAAAAGCATTTGAAATTAAATAATATTTTTGTCTAATTGAGTTTTGTATGTTACAATCCAGAGCTGATTTTCAAGTGTGGGGGTCCAATTTAAAAAAAATACATTTGCTTTTCTCGAATCCTTGTGTTTTTAACTAATAATAACTAAACTGAATGCGACAGAATTTCTAGAGTTATGGGGGATGGTAATAAATATTAAAAAAAAAAATTTCCATGACTTTAAAAAAAGAAAACATATAATAAATTCCATCATTTGTAAATAATTTCTGAAAGTTTCATTAACATACGACAATTCTTTTTATTTTTGCAAGATTTTCCAAGTTAATTTCTGTAATTCAAAAAGAAAAAAAAAGTGCTGAAAATTTGTTATTTTACTAGCTCTCATGGAGGTACCTACCTTATGGATTCTCGTCTCGACCATGGGCGGTCAGACGTTAAAAGCATATTTACGCATCCACGTACGTATGAAATTTTCCAAACTACATTACAAACATACAAAGCATTTCCAAACAAGCAACAAGAACTTTTCTCTTTGAAATACTTTTCTAAAGCTAAATTATATTCAGCATTTCTCAACTTTATAATTCAATCATTTAACATTTGTGAGCTCAGATAAAAATATTAAATCAAAGGTACATAACACCAGCAAAATAATATGCATGTACATACATAAAAATAAATAAAAATGTTATTGTTTTAAAACCATTTTGTTCCTTCTTGTGTTTCCTATTTTATGGTATTTTACGTTAAATATATTATAAATTGTGTGGTCATGTTATTCACGCAGCAATAAACAGACATATACAAATGGTCCATTCCTCTTAAAATGTCTCTACAGAGGTCTTTTCTGTTGAAAATAAAATTAGTTTCTTTTTCTACAATTCTTAGGTAGAAATGAATTTTTTTCTTTGGAAATTAACTGAAATAAATTCGAAGTTTGGCTAAATCCGAGAGATTTCCATTGGATACAAAAAATGTTTAAATTAAATTCTGTATTCATGTATTTTCTCTTTTTTATTTGCTCAGAAATAATTTTTCTTTCAATTTCTTAAGGAAAAGAAAAATTAAGAAGTTGCAATAAAAAACGTACATTTTGCCTGACAAAATCTCCTCTGACTGATTTGTATCATTATTTTTAATTTTATTTTTATTATCATCTGCTTGTTTCTATTCTATTCATCATTTTGATGGCTTTGATGTCACGCCATGATTGTATTTTGTGATATAAAAGAGAAAGAAAACAATCCACCCACCTTACCGACATAAAGGCTTAAATGATGATGGTGAAAAAAGGAAAGGTCGGAAACTAAAATTGCCACAGAATTATATTTTGGTTGAAGAAAAAAAATTTAATGCCCACTGTAAGGATCGATCCCAGTATAGCGGTTGCTATGTTTTTCACACCCACATACACTCCAAGTCATTTTATTCACCTGCGATTGGCTAATAAATTAATACTACCTTTGTATAGGACAATTTAGCCATCGCAGTCGTTCCTTTGCATCTTTTGGTTCTGAGCATACTTCCCTATTTTGTTTAGTATGTGTGTAGCGATTGGTTAATTTTTAACCAATCACATATTTTTAATGTATGATCAAGTTTTCACGCGGTTTCGTGGGAGCCTACCTATTTTCCTTAAATAGGGCGACTTTCCGCAAGTCACCAGTAAGGTCCAGTAAGATCCCAGCCGTCAACCCAAATCCACGATATTGCTCATCACACTCTAACGCACACACAGACACAGAATTTCGTAACTACAAACTTACATTTTCTCTCTGTAACTTTCGCCAAGCACAATCAACCAGAGATTTGTTGATTTCAATCAGTTTATTCACAACACATTTCAAGCAATTTATTCTTGGTATTATTCCTTCTTTACATGCAAACTTTGCTCTAACAATTATTTCAGAATATCTCAGAAGAGAACTTTCTTAAAACGGTTGATTACAATCAATCTACAGTCAAAGGGGAAAAAAATTCCTTCTCTTTAATCTACATTGTGAATACGATTTTATTTCATGCTTGTTGTTGTATGTTATTCAATATATATTTGTTGGTTAACAAATTAGAGTTGTTATTTCTTGAATCCTGTACGTGGAAGAATCATTAATATAGATAGTAGTAGTACCTATATATTTGGTGTTACCGCTACATTTAGTGAATCGACGAGACACTATACTTGGTATGTACGCTACACCACGACCTTCAGTCAACCAATTCAAGAGTTCATCTTTTAACAGAGATGTCACCCCTATTGATTGGAATAAGATCACCCACTGAAGCTCTATACCCTACCCGGCTATCTTTGTCACCCAGGATTAACACCCTCCCCCAATTACTCGATTGCTGAGGGAGTCAAGAGGAGAGTAAAAGAAAAAAATAAGACAAGAAAGTCAAAACGCACAAAGATTATTAATTCATTTAAATTATTTTTAAAGATTTTGAGATAATGAATTTCTTTTTTTTTTCATTTTCTGTTTAAGAGAAGAAAAAACAGAAAATGTTATTGTTTGTTTAGCAGTGAATGAACATAGTCAAGTCTATTGAATATTTGAATGGGAATCTAATAAAGATGAACATTTTATTTGACTTACCTTCATTACAACCTTTTCCCATCCATCCAGCAGCACAGGTACATGATGTAGATGTGCAGTACCTAAGATCACTACAATGGCATCCTTCTTTGCAAAATGTTCCATTACGTCCACGTGGACATGCTAAAAATGTAAAAGAATTTCTCTGAATAATAAATGAATTCTTTCAATTCCTCACCAAAAAAGAGAAACAAAGATGGATTTAGATTCGGATGCAATAAATACTATAACGAGTAAAGAAATTCATGTCTTAAATATAATTTCTATCGGATTAACAAGTAAGTGTTAGAAAAATATTTCCAATTCATTCCACGGAGCTTTTATAGAAAACTATTTCAGAGGGTGAAGAATATTTCCAATGACATCCATTTTCATAGACATTTTTCTAGAAAATCAATGCAGACCAATTAAAAGAAGAGAAGATAAAAGAATAAACTTCTAATAAAAATAAACAATAAGACACTGACTTGTTTTCTTCAAATTAAACATTGACCTTCATTGTATATATTTCATTTTCTTTTGCATTTTTCATTATTAAAAAGGCAGAAACAATTTTTTAGAGAATATTCCTTACGTGTTTGGCATTTATCTCCTGTGTATCCATGCTCACATTTTCCATCAGGACATCGCCCGTGTCTTTTTGGAATTGTCAGCACAATGACATGACTTCTGACAATCATAACCAAATTTGCCAGAAGGGCATTCTGAAAATAATGTAACAAATGATTAAACCAATATGAGATGATACTGAAAAGACAAAAAAGGCGTTTTTTCTGTCTTAAAGAGAGAAAAAAAATAAATAAATAAATGACCCATTAAGTTGTTGATGAAACTGAAGAGTAGAAAATCATAAAGTTTTATTTTCAGACAATTGCACAATGAAAATATTTAAAAATGAACAGGAGGCAAAATATATTTTGAGTTTAGACGAGACAAAATTACAAATGACCAAAGAAATAAGCAATAATATTGAAAAAAAAGAGGAAAGTCATAAAGTTGCATTCACATAGAATTGCATCGAGAAAATGAAGGGAAATAAACAACAAAAGAAGGACATTTTATTAATCTTAGATAAAAAGACAATTAAAACGTATAATTGATGTGATTGAAAAAAGGAAAATGCTAAACATTCCTTCGCTAAGAAGTTATATAACGAAAAATATAAAAACGTATCAAGCTGAATAACATGCATAGAAAGAAATTATTAAATATTAATTAAAAAAAGCAAAAGGGTAAATTATTTCTATTACCATCCCCACCTCATTTTCCCCCACGGAATTAAATATTAATGCCCCCCCACACACACACTTCTCTGTAAGCGAGTCCTTTCGTTGCCACCAAAATAGAAATGAATTTTTTCCTCTTTGGAAATTAACTGAAATAAGTTCGATGTTTGGCTAAATCCGAGAGATTTCCATTTGAAACAAAAAAAAAAAACAAAAAAAAATGTATAAATTCGGTACTCATGTATTTTCTATTTCATTTTTTTAAGGAAAATAAAAATTACGAAATTGCAATAAATAAAACGTCCATTTTGCTGGAAAAAATCTTCTCAGACTTATTTGTATAATTTTATTTTATTTATTTTTTCGTCTGCTTGTTTCAATTTTATTGCCGCTTAAAATGGTTGTCATGGCAACCGATTAGGTTATAACTATTTTATTTTTTAAATAGAATTTGAAAAAAAAGTTAATTTCTCTCTCTTGTAAATAAATAAATAAAAAATAATAATAATTTGTTTTACCCGTCTGATTGTTAATGTTAAATTTCCAAGGGAGAGATTTAGCATCCCGCTACCACTTTCTACACAAGCAGGCCTTGCAATACGCCCACGTACAAATATTTTTCCAGTGCGTGTCCAATTCAAGTCTTCCCGCTAAATTTCCGTGATCGTGTCACGTGATTACATTAATCATAAATAGTAGACACGAGCTTGCGTTTTCTCTTCTCTTCTTTTCCTGCGAAGATGTGGCCTTAAGGATACTCGTCTCGACCACGGAGGTGGGGTCAGACGTTAAAAGCATATACACATCCATGTATGTACGAAATTTTCCAAACTACATTACAAACATACAAAGCATTTCCAAACAAGCAACAAGAACTTTTCTCTTTGAAATACTTTTCTAAAGCTAAATTATATTCAGCATTTCTCAACTTTATAATTCAATCATTTAACATTTGTGAGCTCAGATAAAAATATTAAATCAAAGGTACATAACACCAGCAAAATAATATGCATATACATACGTACATAAAAATAAATAAAAATGTTATTGTTTTAAAACCATTTTGTTCCTTCTTGTGTTTCCTATTTTATGGTATTTTACGTTAAATATATTATAAATTGTGTGGTCATGTTATTCACGCAGCAATAAACAGACATATACAAATGGTCCATTCCTCTTAAAATGTCTCTACAGAGGTCTTTTCTGTTGAAAATAAAATTAGTTTCTTTTTCTACAATTCTTAGGTAGAAATGAATTTTTTTCTTTGGAAATTAACTGAAATAAATTCGTAGTTTGGCTAAATCCGAGAGATTTCCATTTGATACAAAAATGTATGAATTAAATTCTGTATTCATGTATTTTCTCTTTTTTATTTGCTCAGAAATAATTTTTCTTTCAATTTTTTAAGGAAAAGAAAAATTAAGAAGTTGCAATAAAAAACGTACATTTTGCCTGACAAAATCTCCTCTGACTGATTTGTATCATTATTTTTAATTTTATTTTTATTATCATCTGCTTGTTTCTATTCTATTCATCATTTTGATGGCTTTGATGTCACGCCATGATTGTATTTTGTGATATAAAAGAGAAAGAAAACAATCCACCCACCTTACCGACATAAAGGCATAAATGATGATGGTGAAAAGAGGAAAGGTCGGAAACTAAAATTGCTACCGAATTATATTTTGGTTGAAGAAAAAAAAAATTTAATGCCCACTGTAAGGATCGATCTGAAGACCTTCACGAGTTCATCTTTTAACAGAGATGTCACCCCTATTGATTGGAATAAGATCACCCAGGATTAACCCCCACCCCAATTACTCGATTGCTGAGGGAGTCAAGAGGCGAGTGAAAGAAAAAAAGAAAAAAAAAAGACGAAGAAGTCAAAATGAACACAGATTATTAATTCATTTAAATTATATTGGAAGATTTCGAGATAATGAATTTCTTTTTTTCTTTTATTTTTCGGGTTAAAGGAAGAAGAAAAACATAGAAAATGTTATTATTTGTTTAACAATGAAGGAGAATAGTCAAGTATACAGAGTATTTGAATGGGAATCTAATAATGATTGACATTTTATTTGACTTACCTTCATTGCAACCATTTCCCTTCCACCCATCAGCACACGTACATGATATAGATGTGCATTCCGAAGTATGAAAACAATGGCATCCTTCTTTGCAACCATTTCCATAACGTCCATGTTGACATTCTAAACATTTTAAAAGAATTTCTCGCGAATAATCAATGAACTCTTTCAATTTATCACAAAAAGGAAAAACAAAGATGGCTTTAGATTCGGATGCAATAAATATTATAACGAGTAAAGAAATTCATATCTAAAATATAATTTCTATCGGATTAGCAAGTAAGTTGTGGTGATCATCATCACACTCACATACATACATACATACATACAAATCCTACAACGACAAGCATTCATTGGTTAATCTCCTCAAAACTCGCTCGCTGATTGGTCAATGCCAATCAATCAGATCGTCTGCATGTGAAGAATAATTTTTCCCGCGCAGCGCGTTGGAGCCTATCACGTGATTACATTATCTATAAATAGCCTATACGAGTTTGCCCCTTTCTCTTTTTTTCCTTGCTGCAAAATGGGACCTTTAAGTACGTTCGTCTCAACCATGGACGATCAGATGTTAAAAGCTTATTCACGCATTCACGTACGTACGAACTCTTACGAACTTTTCCAATCTACATTACAAATATACAGAACATTTCAAACATGCAACTAGAACTTTTCTCTTTGAAATATTCTTCTAAAACTACAGTTTATTCAGCATGTTTCAGCTTTATAATTAATTCAACTTTTGTGATTTCTGATAAAAATATTACAGTCTAAGAGACATAACTCCATCAGATCTTTAACTTCTACGCATGTACATCAAATCACAAATAAATGGTGACCTCCAATGGCTTTGATTATCCTTTTCCACGTCAGTCCTAATCTAAGTTAAATTAATGTGGTGGAGTTCGCTACAAAGTGATAGAAAAATATTTCCATTTCATTCAACGGGGTGTTGAAGACTGTCGAATGTATTTTAAGGTATCAGAAGGTTAGTTTATCGAAAGGGGTAGTGATGTTGATGTTCTTAGACATTCATCCACAGTAAATTAAGAAACATGAATATTGAAGGCAAATTATTCAAAAGAAATCAGAGTGAAAACAACATATGTAAAAGGTTTAAAAATAACATTGATTTATATAGAATAAAAATACACAGTTGAATCAAAGATTGTTGAATAAGTGTTGAATGGTTGAGTTGAATTATGTAGTGTATTTACGCCAAGTTTCAGTGTGTGTGAAACTGTTATTAAGATTTGTGTGTGAAATTAAACTAAGTGTTTGGTCGTGTAAATGTCTTTTGTGGCAATTCAGTCAATAGTGTGTATGTGTATGCTTGTTTAAATTATTGTCTAAGGCTGGTATGAGTTGTGTACCTTTAGTTGTTTTGATGTTTGATTGAATATTTACGAACACTTATTATTGTAGTGTGTTATTTCACTTTCTTTAGTATCGTAAGCAATTGTTCCTGGTAGAGCGAAATGCTGTTTGTTGAGTCAGAGAAGTTTGCGCGGGAAAAGTGTAGTTGGTTAAGATTTTGACTGGCGTGGATTAGTTTGTCATTTCTCCAGGATGAAATTCTGACTGCTCTGACTTGCGTGAGAGTTGGTAATGTTCTTTAACGTCTGACCGTGTGGTTAAGACGGGAGCACTTGAAGATTACATCTTGACAGCAAGATGAATGAAGAGAAAACACCATGGAGCTTATTTATGTTTTGTTTCTACAAGGCTAGGTATCAGGCGATCGGCTCCGTTCGAAAACGTGGGAAATATCATTCATCGCGTGCAGGCAAATCTGATTGGTCGGAATTGACCAATCAGCGACCTAGTTTTGAGGAGATTAACCAATGAATGCTTGTCGCATGATTTGTATGTATGATGGTGACGATAATTACCACAGGAGCTTTTATAAGAAAATATTTCAGAGGGTGAAGAATATTTCCAATGACATCCATTTTTATAGACACTTCTATAAAATCCATGCAGACCAATTAAAAAAAAAAAAAAAAAAAAAAAAAGCTTTTAATTAATGAAAATGAACAATAAAACACAATAAGAAAAAAAACCCAAAAAAAAAACTATTTTTTAGAGAATATTCCTTACGTGTTTGGCAGTTATATCTTGTGTATCCATGTCCACATTTTCTATCAGGACATCGCCCGTCTCTTTTATTACATTTAGAATTGACAGTACAATGGCATGTCACGGGCAGCCAGCAGCTGTCAGCAGGAGTAGCGCCACGTCAACCAGTGAGAACTAATATGAGAGATCAACCCAGATCGACAGCCGGTTTATGAACTATACCACAAGGTAGCTGTCCCAAAACCACACGTTCCTATTGAAATAAATCACGTAAATCTATTTCTGCTGTTGTCTATAACACTGGTATCAGAAGCGTACAGCAAGAGAAATATGGACGACTACACGAGTTTCACCCGAGCTGAACTATTTACTCTCATCAAGGAACAGAAAACACTACTATTCAACTTGAAAACGGGACCAACACAGCCTTCCGAAGCCCCGACACAAGAAATTCAAGCCGACATGAACGATATGCTGACTGTCCTAAAATTAACTACTTTAACACCTCCCACTGCTCAAACAAACGGTGATTACAGTTTAATGATGCGCCAACAAACTATACGCGACATATTAAAGCTAGAGAGAACTTTCCACCCTGGACACGACGTGAACCGATTCATCACGGCCCTAAACAAAGCATACACAATCCACGTCACGCCAGAACTCAGCACCTATCTCAGCCTGGAATGCGAATTCGTCAAGTCTGCTAAAGATTTACTGGATCAAAGTATCTTTCAGCAGATGGTTGACTCAAATATATCCACCTTCGAACAACTGAAGGAATACTTATTAGCAGCCAACGGAAGCCAGATGACTAACTTCCAACATCTCAGTCAAGCCTGGGATCTGGAACTGCGAGACGGCGAAAAATTAACAGACTTCGCGGGTCGACTCGAAAACACCCTTAGAGAGGCAGCCGTCTACATAAAAAACAAATACAAAAAGGACAAAAATACAGACTTAACAGTCGATGGACTTATTTCCATCATCGGCGCTATGCTAATGAGCGAAAAGGTGAAAATATGGAACTCAAATCTTTACCCACATCTCGTCAAGACAATGGACAACCACTATTCAGCTATTGGCATAGCCTCCGAAGCTCAAATATACCTTGATCGCGGTGTAAAATCCAACGACACGACTTCGAACAACACTGTGTATTTCACACAGAAACCACAGCGGTCAAACCAAAGAAACGCGCCATTCCGACCCAGCAGGCAACCAAACCCACAGCAGACGGGCCTCACCAACCCTCCCGAACATGGCTACCATACGACATGCAGAAACCATCAGCAAACATCACGAATCAGCATGTGCAAGAACTACCTCAGAGGTCGCCGCTGCCACCATGGACGCAACTGCCTATATCGCCAGCCATCTCGCACTCGGGCACAGGCCCATATCGCCGCAACGAATTATAATATACAAGCCGTAATTGATGTGGAACAGGATTTTCGCTTCGGGCAGGACGAGATGTGATGCCTCGTTCGCCGTGCCCCTACGTCAGCCATCACACCAACTTTCAAGGACTCGCTCACCATTCACCGCTCGTCCAGTCCGCCTTCAACTTCAGGGACACCACCTTCTCTGGCGTCGCAATGCTTGACTCTGGATGTTCCACATGCATCTTACCAATATCTCAGTTACCAAGAGAAACCAAGAAACACATGACCCGCTCCGACGTCGTAGTATAAGGAATCAACGGCAGCACCACCGCCCTTGGCGAACTGATTTGCGACATCACCATCGGCAGTCGAGACTCACCCACATTCAAAAAGGTTAACGTGCTGGTAACTACCTAAATCACACCGAAACGAGACAAAAAAGATTTAAAGTAAATAATAAGCAAAACAATCTGTAATGACATTAAAGAGGATAAAGGAGTAAACATTGCCATCAATGAGCCAATTGAGAATAAATGAAAATTTAGAAGTATTTGGGAAAATGGAAGCTGAGAATAAAAGAATCAAATTAAGAAATGAGCATTACCATATGTAATAATTTTGTAGAGACTAAAGTAGTAAACTGTTATATTCCGTGCTAACAGGAATATATGCTTGACAAACACAGTGGATAAAATAATTAATGCTTATCTTAAAAACCAGGACAGTAAGAAACAAGGAAACATGTATGCGCACGATTATCGCAATCAATATTTTTGTTTGTGCTGCTATTGGAACGTCGATGGTTCTTGCGTAATTCTGAGTCGTACTTAACAGATCACAGCTAGACAATATTTACCAGCTTCGCCAGAAGATAGGATGTGGCAGAAGGCTGAATTTAATATGGGGCAATTTGAGCCCGTATGCTCGGCCTGAAATTCCCCGTTACCCCGTATAAACTGATTTGTGTCTGTCTACCTCCCTGGACGAGACTCTGCCCTTCGGAATAGCCTCATTTGGGTTCCTCTCTGCTCGAATCAGGGAGTTCGACAACAGCTTAGAGCTGAACAACAGATCCAAGCTATACGGTATCTAGGGACTGCACCACGTAGTCACATGTGGCACAAGGCCAAATTTAATGTTGGTTTCCCGAGTCCGTAGACTCAGCCAAAAAATTCCCGTATGCCCCGCATAAACGTGCACAGGTCTGTCTACCTCCCTGGACGAGGCTCTGCCCTTCATCTTAGCGTTGTTTGGGTTCCTCTTTGCCCAAATGCAGAGAGTTCGACCAGCAGAGCTCGAAAAGATACTCCTGAAGTCCGTTGCCTTACCGCTATTTATACGTAGATACTACCTATAGTGTATTTACTCATGGGAGTGACAGGTTATTCCATTACATCATAATCATTCCCATCAATGTCCCTATTGAGATTAAATGAAAAGGAATAAGTATTTAGGAAAAAGAAACTGAGACTAAAAGATTCAAAGTAAAAAATGAAGAAATCAATCTGTAATAATATTGAAGAGACTAAAAAAGTAGTAAACATTAACATCAATGGCTCAATTGAGAATATATGAAGAGGAAAAAGGCTTTAGAGAAAACAAACTGGAATACTTAAAGTAACAAAGTAAGAAAGGAGTAAG